TCATTTAATAATAACCGTTTGATGATAAAATGAACGATCAAGATCGGTTCACATAGTTTGTACCATATGGTTGGTTTCTATTTGAACCAACCTCTATATATATATATATATATAGTTATAAAAATGAGAGTACGACCCTTAATTGGGTCCAAATATTACAAAGAGATGTGTGTAAGCAAAGCAACAACGATGCAGAAACAAGTAGGATAATAAATGTTTTCAATATCCCGAACAAGTAATCGTGCTCCACAATAACAACCAACAACATGAATGCAATGAAAACAAATAAGCGAACACACTAATTTCACATAATTCTACTATCAGTATGATAGTGTATATCTATCGGTATGATAGTGTATATCTATCGGTATGATAGTGTATATCTATCGGTAATCAGTGGAGGGACAATTTAAACAGAAGAACAGTAACAAGAATAAGGACAAACCAATCCATAATCAACTCTTAGGGGGTGTTTTGTTCACATAATGTAATTTGATGGAATTGGAATCCATCAAAGGAATTTGACTTTGAAAGAATTGGAATGGAATTTGATGGAATTTGACCATGCATTTGGATGGTAGGAATTGGAATGAAATCTCTCAATAGAATTGGAACAATCGTCTTTGTTTGGACCATCCCACATATCGCCCCACCCACGCCCTACCAACCACCATGTCACTAATGTCGTCATCACAGCTATCACCCTGCCCCAACCCCGCCCCCACCACTCCTGCCCCTGCCCCACAATAGGTGGGGTTGTTGGGGGTAGGCGGGGTGAGGTGAGGCATTGGGGATGGGCTAGTGGGTGGCAAGTGAAGACTATAGTGGTAGGATGGTGGTTAGTGGTGGGTTGGAGTAGGATGGGGGTGGGTGGGGTATTTGGCGGGGTGGTAGATGTAACGATGATAGTGGTCGGGTGGCTGAGGCGTGGGAGTGCATGAGTATAATGACAACAATAGCGGCATGGTATTTAGTGGTGGGCTAGGGTTGGGGTCGGGGTGGGTTACGAGTGAATGGCGGTTGTGAAAGCGACAATAATGGTGAGGGGTGGGGGTTAGGTTAGGGGGGGWTGGGTAGTGGGGATGGGTGGCAGTTATGACGATGACAGTGGTGGGATGGTGGTCGGGTGGCTGGGAGTGGATGGGTATAACGACGACAATAGTGGCATGGTGGTTAGTGGTGGGGTGGGGGTGAATGGCAGCTGTGATAGCGACAATAATGGTGTGGTGGTGGGGGTTAGGTTAGGGGCGTGATAGTAACGGTAGTAGCATGGTCGTAGCAGGGATGTGCAGTGAGTGACCGGGACCCGATGGTGGGTGGGTGTGATGACAATAGTAATGGCATGGTGGTTAGTGGTGGGGTAGGGTGGGTGGCAGTGAGTAGTGGTGTGGTGGTGGTAGTGGGGGGTTAGGGGTGGGGCATCACAAACAGTAATAGCATGGTCGTTGTGGGTGTTGATGGAATTCAATTCCTTCCATTATGCTAAGGAATGATGAATTCCTTAACTTGTGGAATTCATTGGAATTTGAAGGATTCCATCCATTTCAAGAAATGAACCAAACAAAGGAATTGGAATTTGGTCAAAGGAATTTATCATTCCAATTCCGTCAAATTCCTTCAAATTCCGCGAACCAAACGGGCCCTTATGCTTCTACTTATTCAGTGGCAACCTGAACCAAAAGTGACGCATCATCGTTCGGCGACTTCTCCTGGTTCAATTTCCTTCCCAATAAAGTCACTGTCTCATGAACCCCACCAAAAACCTACATCGCTGTTCCGGTATCATAGTTTACTGATGTTTCAGTAACTGTCTTTCAACCAAAACCATTCGAACAATCTTTAAGACTAAGTTTTAATACGTTACAAATATTAAAACTTTATAGAATATTTATTTGAAGATTACCTCAAGAAAACATTGCATTTTTTAATTATGTGTGTTTTTTTACCGTTGGTGTGGGAAAATTGAGGAAGATGGAAATATAAGCACCAAAGGAAAAACGGAAATGGATGCCGTTGTCGTGCGGCTGGTTAGGTCCACCATCCCCATCATCCCAGCACACAACAGAGGGAAAAATTATGAGAAGAAAGAGATAAAAAGAGATTTCGCTCTTCTCCTCTCTCTCTCTCTCTCTCTCTCTCTCTCTCTCTCTCCCTCCCAACACTTTATCTTTTTCGTATCAAATTTGCGGTGAATTCTCAACCCAAACGATCAAATATGTGCACCCAATTCGATTTTCTGTGTAATTTGCAGTAATTGTATCTCAAATGCCCCATGTTTTTTAACGCAATTTGATCCAGTTTCTTTTGGGGTTGGGGTTCTGAAACAGCTTAAACCCATTTCAATTTGCTGAATTTTTTTTGTTTTCTTTTAATTTAACCCACGTAAATGGCCACCAGAGGGAGCAGATCGGAGAAGGTACGAAGGATTTTCCAGCAATTTGATTTCAACAGAGATGGTGGTCTTAATAGGGATGAAATGGCCGCCCTTGTTGTTGCAGTAAACCCTAGGGTTAAATTTAGCGACGAGCAAATCAGCGCCATCCTCGACGAGGTTTTCCGTACGTACAGCGAGTTCATCGACGGCGAAACGGGTCTGACATACGACGGTCTATTGCGGACGTACGACGACGGTGCCGGTGACGTCGACCGTGATTTCGAGGCATTAGGGCTTGAATTAAAACCCGACGATGATAATGAAGTTACTTCTTCATTGGCATTGGAAGAAGCCTCCACCTCATCGGTCATGGAGCGGGCGTCTTCGGCGGGTCCACCGCAGAACCGACGTACGGCCGCCTGGGCAGCCTCCCCTAACCACGGAATCATCTTCGACGACACGTGGAAACTCGTCGACGATTTGGAAATTCTGATCAAGAGGTTAAAAGCAAAGCAAACGAAAGACGGCAAAACCAAAGGGGAGAATTTCGATGCGTATTCTGATCCAGGGTGGTCTCGAGAGCTCGGACCATCTTCCGAGCTCGATAAACGGATCGTTTGGGAAGAAAATAGCCATGATTATGCTCTATTCGTGAAAGAATTAGGGTCTCTAAGGTCCAGAGCAGATGGGTCAAGATCAAGAGAAGAAGCATTCGATGGGCATATGGCTCTTGGTCGAGTTCTATACGACCAACAATTATTCAAAGAATCATTGGTTTGTTTCAAACGAGCCTGTGAATTACAACCAACCGACGTCAGACCCCATTTCCGGGCCGGAAACTGCTATTATGTCATCGGCCGGCACAGTGAGGCCAAAAGTGAGTTCATATCTGCTTTAGATGCAGCCGAAGCTGGAGGTAACCAATGGGCTTATTTGCTTCCTCAAATTCATGTGAATCTTGGGATTTCTTTAGAAGGTGAAGGTATGGTTATAAGTGCTTGTGAACATTACAGAGAGGCTGCAATTCTTTGCCCAACTCATTTTCGAGCTTTAAAGCTTTTGGGTAGTGCTCTATTTGGTGTAGGAGAGTATAAAGCTGCTGTAAAAGCTTTAGAAGAAGCCATTTACATGAAAAACGATTATGCAGATGCCCATTGTGACTTAGCTTCAGCTCTGCACGCCATTGGAGACGATGAGAATGCCATCAAGGAGTTTCAGAAAGCCATTGATTTGAAGCCTGGTCATGTGGATGCTTTATATAATCTTGGTGGTCTTTATATGGATATGGGCAGGTATCAAAGAGCTTCAGAAGTGTACACAAGGGTATTAGGAGTGTGGCCTAACCATTGGAGAGCTCAGCTTAATAAGGCAGTTTCTTTATTAGGTGCTGGAGAAACTGAAGAAGCTAAAAAGGCTCTAAAAGAGGCTTTGAAAATGACCAACAGGATTGAATTGTATGATGCCATTGGTCACTTGAAACAGCTTCATAAGAAGAAACTGAAGGGAAATGGAAGTGGAAAAGGGAATGGGGATGATTCGTTTATAATCGTTGAATCGCTGAAGTTTAAAACCGTTGGTGATAAGACCACATTAAGGCAAGAACTCGCTACAGCTCTCGATATTCGGACTTTCCAAAGAACCACGAGGCTAATCCGCTGTGATGTTGAACTTCTCAAGAAGGAGATGAACGAAAACGAGACTCCATTAACTTATTCGGGCAACGGCTTCCCTGAGAAATCTATCCGTAAAGCTTCTTTAGAGGGTGTTCTTCGAAGATTACTCGGTTTCTTGAAGCCTGAAACTTTCGTTGGAGCTGTCAAAGCTATAAACCTCAAAATCCTCACGGTTTTAGATGAATCAGAATCCGGGAGGGTCGACTTGGGGATGTTTTTCGCGATGATAGCTCCAATATGTGGTGGCACACCAGAAAAACGAAAAAGGGTTGCATTCGATTCCCTTCTCTGGCGACCAGTAAACGACCACGGCGTTAACGGCCAGATCAGAAAGATCGATGCTTTGCGTTATATAAAGTTATTAAGAGCAATCTACATTCCATCTCAAGGTGCAAGTGAGCTGCTCGAAATCCACAGAGACCCCGATAACTCAACAATCTCATTCACAGAATTTCTTGCTCTTTTTGACGACCCCGATTGGGGCTTTGGCATCATGTCGACTCTTATGAAGCTTGAAACCACAGACAGAAACCGGCACGGAAAACATTCTTGCGCCGTCTGCCGCTACCCGATCATCGGGTCCCGGTTCAAGGAAATGAAATCGCAATTTAGCCTCTGTGGTCAATGTTATAGTGAAGGAAAAGTGCCTCCAAGTTTCAAACAGGATGAGTATCAATTCAAAGAGTATGCAAAAGAGAGTGAAGCAGTGAAAGACAAGTGTATGTGGTTTAGTTTGCATCCTGCTAAAAGCTCATCAGGTACAACAACAACAACAACTACTGCAACTACAACTACAACAACTAGTGGTACTAATTTGTAGCGTTGATTCCATTGGCCATATATATATTCTTTAAGTGGGTTTGGTGTGTGATATATAGAGGTGGCAAATATGTTGATAAAGCTAATAAAATGGCGATAAATAGCCCCTGAATTCTTTGTTTAACCACCAGCTTCATCAAGATGTATTCTGTGTGTCCTTGTACTCCCTGTTTTTGACCCCATATGTATGATACCGCATCATTCAATCTCATTGTTCTTGATTCTACATTGTTTTCTTCTTTCTTTACCTTTGTTCCATATGATCTATCTATATATATATATATATATATATATATATATAGGGGCCTAATCAAATGAGAACTAATTAGTTTGTGGTAATTGTGAGAACCAATATTAAACACAAATCAATAGATAAATTAGGAAATTTATAATTTTGG